CGTACCTATGGAAGAACTGCCTGTGCATCAGAGTACATGTTAGGAGAAAGTGGTAGAATGATCCAGTTGAAGAGAGGATCCCAAATGATTATATTCTTCTGGAATTTGGGATGAGAGAAATACCAGCATTCAACTACAATATAGTTAGTATTACCAGGCCAGTCACAAGAGCTTTGTTATCTTCAAAGGTGACGGATAGAGATAAGGTGTCAGTCAGTACACCTTGACTCTGTTGCTCTTTTATTTGATAAACTGAGTGAAATACCATGGAGGTTAAGAACCTGAAACTGAGCAGTGGAGGTTCTTCAGGTTTAAAGAAGTTGTAGCCATGCTGTCAGTTCACTCTTGATCAAACATCTTTTTAATAACAAAGTTAACAATGCTAATAAAACAAGATATTTTGAAACACTATGGCAGAAACTGTGGATTGGAAGTTCTAGTGCAGCTAATTGTTTTATCCATGTCATGTTATATCAGACTGGCTTCCAAAGTGAAAATCTTGTATGTGACAGTGCTTTTGTAAGCATAAAGCTGCGTGAAATTTATCTTCATCTGCTGCAGCCGGTTGAGAGCAGCTCAGGTTGGTGTTGGAGCGAATGGGATGGCGAGGAGGCAGAACTGCCAAAGCTGTGGGGCAGTTCTTTGTCACTGAGGCAGGCTGGTATAGCCTGGAATTAGAAGGTTTAAAATACGAAGTACTCGGACATAAACCAGCATAGCAGACATTCCAGGACTTGGGCAACTGCTCTTTCTTACAGGAGTTAAAAATACGTGTTTCATTGTGGCTTTGGAGCTGCGTTTTAGCCTTTGAAATGTTGGCAAGTCTTCCCTTTGGCTGTTGGTCTTAAAAGGCGTTTAGCCTCTCTTCCTTTGATTTTTGAGCTGTATATAGCTTCTTGGGTAAGTTGTAGTTGCCTCAAGATGCTTTGATCCATCTATAGGCTGAATTGTTATTCCTTGTAGCTTGTTGGTCAGGGAGGGATAAAAATCTTAAGTCTCTGCTGATTTCAGGATGGCTGCTGTACGATTATCGTCATGTGAAGCATACAGCACTGCAGAGTTGTTTTAGCTGAGAGGGCTGGGGAGACCGAAAGCAGCTTTCATATTAAAAAGGAGAAGACAGTCCTGGGAACAGTGATTATGAATTTTTGAGCTTCCAGATAAACTTAGTGTTAGATCTGTAGCTTTTCAAAAGCTATAATCGAAAAGGAAGGCTAAAAGAAAAACAATTATATTGAACTACTACTCTATTTTAGAGATGGAGCCAAATAGTAATTGGGATGCTTTTCAATTTGGAATAATTATTCAACTTAGAACAGGGTTCTCAGGAGATGCTGAAAATATTGGTGCATTTGAAATGCAATTATCCTGCAGTTGGTTTTCCTTTTCTCTGACCTGTGTTTTAAATCCAGTATTTAAGTACTGTGAACTGTTAGCATAAGTGTGGTTCTGTTGTAATTCAAGTTAATAGTTCTTTAACTGTGCTGGGCGATTTCATGGTCAGACTTTTTTCTTCCCCACCCAAAAAAAAGAAGTTTTTTTTTCCTTTCCCCTAATTTCTTGCTAGGGGTTTATGATGCAGCTGATCTTTCTGTTGCATACAGTGGCCATAAAGGTGGAACTATGGAGTTCATCAAAACTCCACACAGGCACAGACGCTTGTCTTTTGGTGTACATTTACAGAATCCAGATCTGCATAGAAGCAGAGGTGTAGCCCTCCATCCCTCCTCTAATTTTTTTGGCTGTTTTATGTCTACCTGAAAATTAAAATATCCCAGGTAATAGTCTGTCGCTGTTCTACACAGTCCCATGCACGCACACAACGCCGCATAAATAATACGAGTATTTTGAAAATGAGTATTTCCTGAAAGGGATTTTAGAGGGAGCAACAACTTGAGAGCATTACCAGTGAGAAAACGACCTGCAATTTAGTTATGATGGGATGAAGCAATTAGCTTCCTGAAATTCATTCTTCCTTGTGTATTATGTAGTAATTGCTGCTGCAGTTCTCCCTGGGGCATCGAGTGCCAGTAGGACAGTTGAGCCATTGTGAAATGCCATCTGCAGTGGATCAGACAAGTTCCATTGTCTCTCGTAGTGTAGCTATCTGCAGCAGTTGCCAGGCTTGACATCTGTGATGGCTGTTCTGCTGAATTGCGTCGTTTCTGAGGCCAGAAATTTAGAGAAGAACTGTGTGGCTGTTGGTTATGTGTATTGTAACACCAGGCACATGTCTAATGCCATTGTCTAGACATGTCGTGACAAAGTGAGGCTTTGTAGATGAGGACCGTACTTCTATGTTTATTATGTTGTGATGTATTTGGAACACTGTCCAGCTTACTGCACGGTTTCTTAGGTAATTATGATACAGAAGATAGTTACATAATACATTCTGCGCACTTTTGTGTGGAAGTATATTCTGGCACACTTGTATCTTTGCTAATTTTCCATGGGTTTATGTTTACTTATGAAAAAGTTTGTGGGACCCTGTTCTCCAACCAAAACATATGAGCAGTGGAAAATGAAAGTTTGACTCGTTAAACAGTGGAATAAGAGGCCACTTTGCAGCTTTCTTTGTCATAATTTCCACGTGGGAGATGTTGAAAGTATGGATATATATACTGATATGGATCAGATTAGCTCTTAAAACACAAGGCAGAGGCAGGTGGAGAGCCGAGTGGTGAGTATCTTTGTAGTTGTAAGCACGTGCCTCTTGTCCTACGTGACAGAGGCAGTATGAGGCTTTCTCATCTGCTGAGCTTGCGAACATGCTGCAACAGTGCTTATTCTGCTTTTGTGCTGTAATAGCTGAGAAGCTTTTGGTGGTGTTTATGTTACAGTAACTAAATCTGTGTGTTTGACAGCCATGAGGAACTCTATTCCGGCCGGCCATATGGAGCACTTGATTCCGGCTTCAATAGCGTGGACAGTGGAGACAAAAGATGGTCAGGGAACGAAGTAAGTGTTGCAGCTTTATTTTTGTTGAGTACAGTGTTGTACAGGGAAGAGAAGTAAAAAGTGTGCGTCTGGAAGCGTATTCAATAGGTAACGTGTATGCCAGTGTGCAGGTTGCCCTGCACCAGAATTATTTGTTGTTTTATTGGAGAAAAACAAACGTAATTGTATATGGGATGGACAAGAAGTTGGAATTAATAAGAGAAATGTATAAAACAGTGCATGACAGAGAATTTATTGGAGCATAATAGATGAGAAAAAGGGGTCTCTAGAAAGAAGCAGCTTATAACTATTATGTTACAGTGTTGAGTCAACTACAATTACTCATGAGTAGTTGTTTCAATAAAATAAATCTGAACATGAAAATGAAACTTCAAAAATGAGATGGAAATTTGATCATTCTTTGCAGCTTGTTTCAAATGGTAAAAATGAGATCTATTTGCCATTCAGACGCCAGAAAATAGGATCTCTTAGCAAGGACACTGTCAATTATTCTTCCAAGGAAGAAGCTTCCTTTTCCTCTTGGGACAACTGGAAAAAGCAGTAGCCAAGACCTGAGGCATTTCAGTGAGCTATACTCCGTATGCCTGCTTGCCCTGCTAGCTTGGTTTTTTAGAGGGTTCTAGGAGTTTCCATCCTGGGATGTTTTCAGGCACTTGCAAATACTGCAAACAAAACTGTAGACAGGCTGGGTTTTTAAGCAAGTTTAAATGTATGTTTTCTAAAAACAATACAGCTGTATTTTGCTTTAAGTTGGTGTTTTGTAGGTGCAAAACAGGACAGTTGAAGTAAAACCACAAATTAAGTAGTAGTAGCTTACAAGATGATGTTTCTGAAGAAAAGTGTTTCTTGACTTCACTGTTTGTTTTCTAAAGCCAACAGATGAGTTCTCAGATCTCCCTTTACGTGTGGCAGAGCTCACTAAAGAACAGAGGCTGCGAAGAGAAAGTCAGTATCAAGAAAACCGAGGGAGCACAGTCGTAACTAATGGTGGAGGTAAACAGTGATAGTTGGCTACAGTATTTATTGTTGTTATTAAAGTTCCAGAATATTTGCTATAAATAGTAGGTGGTCTAAAGAGGAAGAAGAGAAAAGTCTGGGTGGAATTACACAAAGACACAGTTGTGTGAACAGTGTAAAAACACTGTTGTGTTAAGGATGCTACATGGCAAAGCCAAATAGCATCAGAATTAGGATTAACTGGGAGACATTGTCAGGTTCTGCGTATGTGCTGTGTTAAAACCTCCAAATGCTTCAAACGGTATTTTGGAATCTGGAATTTCAGTGTGTGGAGTTTTGCTGCTTGAGCTACTGGGGAAAATGCACAGCATTAGTAAATTGTCAGTGCTCTTGCCAACTGCAGTCAGAATGGGATGAACAATTTTGTCAGGGCATTTCGTATTTCCAGGTAGCAAAAATGCTTCATTCAGCAGTCTGGGGTTTTAATCCCAACACACAGGCCATCTGGGAGGGACAGGTATTTGATTGACGTTGGGGTTTTTTGCACTTTCTTGACTTGTTGTCCTGCGATCTTACAGCAGGACCCTCATGTTTGTGCAAGAGGTGGTAGCACTTCCTGTGTTTCTTGTTCTCCACTGTTCTCATTTTAACTTCCAATAATCTGCTGCCACTGGCTCACAGTTCAGTCCTCTCCTTGTTTGTGTGTTCCAATTTTAGCATTCTCCAGGGTTTTCTTCCAGTCACTCCCTCTTCTCCATTTTTTTTGCACTACTGTCTATGAGATCTCATCTCTGTATGCTTTGATTAATTTTACTTCTTTCTCAGCTGCTCCTTGTTTTCCATTTCCCCTAATGGCTCCAGTTGATATTCCCTGTCTGAGTCTCACTCCTACCAGCGAGTTTTAATCTTCTGTGCCCAACTCCCACTTTTTCTTACTTTTCTCCTCATCCTCCTCTTCATCTTTTACCATCTTCTTTTTTTGGTCTTACTCTTCTCTGCCACAGTATTTGGTTTTCTTTACCACCTTCTAGAAATACATGAAACGTTCTGGTTGACTCACTCTCTTACACATTAACGGACAAAAAAACTCCGTTCAAACAGTTAAATTCTGGCAAAGTTAGAAGAATTGCAGACATGGTGCTATGGGGAGCTGTGGGCAGCCTTGGTAAGTGGTAGTGCTGCCAGCTCCTCCTCTAAGACTAACTCTGTTTTGTTCTCTGGGTTTTGTACGTCAGGGATTTCAAGATGCCTCACTAGTCTTTTAAGATGAAACAGAGTCAGTTCACGAGTAGGAGTATCGGAGAGGGGCACAAGCCATAGCATGTGGCTGTCATTGATCCAGGAGATTCTTTCCAATTTTGTGTTCTTAACAGATACCAAGGTCTTGCACTCTCTACTGTGTTGTTATTATTATTATTTAAGTTTAATAAGCAATGCTGAAAAGAAGTGGGGTTTTTTTTGTTTTAGTTTGTTTTGTTGGGGCTTTTTTAAATATTTGACACTGAGATGGAGATTTAATGAAATCAAAGTATATAGGTGTCGCTGTTGAGACGGACACGACACGCACGGAATTGTGCACCAAAGCCAAAGGCCAAAATGGACTCTTTATTGTTTATACAAGTCCGTTTTATATCTTTCTTAAGAATGTGTGTTCATACATGATTGGTTCACTCAAAGGACCAACAGTTCATGATAGGATGATCCCTTCTTTGTTGCATCTTCGTTAAACTTCTCCTTGCGGAGGCAGTACCTTGCTCTTGTTTACTCAGCGCTTCTCGGGACTTTTCAGACTCCTTAAGGGTACTCAGTTATCTGCTCAAGGTTAATGTTAGCTTACATTCCAATCCCTCGGACCAGCCGAGGTTTCCCACATATAGGAATGCTGGTTTGGATGGTTGTAGTGGCGGAGGAGGTGGCTTTGGCAGTAACAGTTGCTAGATTGTGTGGTGAGGCAAAGAGGAGTCTGTTTTAGACAAGCAGGAAAGGGGCGGGGGAGTAGAAAAAGAATGTCTGCAAGGGAGTCTGGAGCAAGTTTGGGGAGAGCTTTAAGAAAAAGAAAGCTCTGGTACTTAGAAAGGAAGCTTATGCTTTCCCCTGCATCCCCAGCACAGTTGTTTTTCACCAGGGTAGTTTGCTGAATGTCATGACTCAGAATCCTGGGCAGGATGTGTAAAAGCAGTGACAAGTGAAAAAATTGCCCTACATAATATTGCCCACACAAGGGAAAATCAATACTAGCCAAACTGCTGTTTCTTGCTCTCATTTCAGTGGTTCCTAATTTATTTATTCATTCCTTTTTTTAAAATCAAACCGCTGGTGCTTTTATATTGTTTTAGAAGGGTTTGTTGCTTTCTGTACTGTCCTTCACCTATTTCTACATACACGTCTTTGTATTGCATTTGTATCCAGATAACTTGGACATGCTACCCTGTTCTGTTGTAGTAAAAACAGTAGAATTACCTGTAAAATCCATTCTATTTTTCCTGATAGAGGAAATTAGAACGAAGAGAAATGATTCAAAGTATACACACAAAAAAACAGTGTTTACTTTTTTAGCCACTGCAAAAGTAACTGCAGCCAGCAGTTTAAACCTGTGTGCTTGATACGTGTTTCTCATTGCTGTTTAAAAACCACTACTTTCATCATTATTTCAAAATCAGATGTTAACAAATGTTAGTGAGCCAGGTAAAATTCAGGAGATTCAGGCTGAGCTTTCCCAGAAGGAAGAAATCCAATAGGGCCTTAGTTCCTGACATTGCTTTTGTCTTGTTTTTCCGCTCCTGTTGGTTATCTAATTATGGGTGTTTTCTTTGTCTATGTACGTCAAGTGGAACACGATCTCGATCAGATCGACTACATCGATAGCTGTGCCACAGAAGAGGAGGAGGAAGAGTTGAGGCAACCCAAGTGCGTGGACCCAGACAGCCTCAGCTCACAGTTCATGGCCTATATTGACCAGCGACGGATCTCTAACGAGGTGGTGCTTTTACTTAAATTAGATAAATTCATATGCTCCAGGAAAGCCTTTGTGATGGTATTAATGCTTATTGGTCTCAGAGGTTTTCTTTGCTCTTCCCCCAGATCAGATTTTTCTTTTTTTAAACACACTGTTGGGTTTTGTGGAGGGTCAGCTGGAGAGTTAAGCTGCTCCCAAGTGCCCCTTGGGATATGTGGAATATGTCTAAGGCAGCCACGCTGTTTTCCTGTCATGTGGGTTCTTGCAGGATTGTGCTTTAGACATATGTGAAGTAAATGGCTTTTCCAAAGTGGTGCTGTCCTCAGAAGACGCTGACGTTGGTGCTTCCAACTGCTAATTGGTGATATCTAGAACATCGTTAATTTACTTGGCAGCACTGAATATATACCAGCTTTCTCAAGGGAAAAATATTGTTACCAGCGTACAGATTTACTACAGGAATTCTGCAGCTCCATTAATTTTGGCCCTTCATGTTGCTTATAAGTTACTTGCCATGAAGCTCAGTCTTGAGCATCCCTTTTAAGTTTAGACTAACTTAAATATTCAGACTTTTACATCGAAAAAGCTATTCATAGGGATCTATCTGTTCAGTAAAATTAAACTGTTGGTTTTTAACTGATACAGTGGTTTCTCTAAAAAGGCAATCCAAAACACTCTACTCTTTAGGAAGGCTAACTGTACGCGTTACAGCAACATACATCCAGGCAGGAGTGAAAATTGGCAAGTTAATCTTCAAAAGTTCCCAACTTCCTACCTTAATGGATATCAGTAAAAATTTTTAAATACCACCAAGGGCAATATGTCTCTGTTCCCAGTGGGATAAATTATTTCATAGCTCAAATTAAGCCTAAGGTGTTCTCATTCATCCCGTGTTTTGCTTTTAGTCCCTCTGTGACCTGTCTTCAGGGCATCATAAGAAAACATCAGCTGTTGTATCCAGTATTTCTGAATCCAGGCTGTATTGCTGCACACTGGTAGAGTTAAGCTCTGAAGAATGTCTATATGTTTCTTCTGCGTGACATTAATTATTTTTACCTACGTTTACTTCTCTGCAGGATTCTTAATAGTGGAGGTTTTTTAAACTCATAAATATCGGTAGGCATATTTAATCTCTAAAGTTTCTTTAAATTGCAGGAAAAAATAAAAGTGAGCGTGCATAGTTGGAAATCAACATCCCTGAGTTGTGTTTTGTGGTTCTTTGTCAGATATTCCAAATACTAGTAGTTTAAAATGTTGCTCTACAAATCCATTCTTTGACATTACTGTAGAGTACGCTGAACAAGTTGCTGAGAGTCTCCTGTGCTGTTTCGCTTAGGGCTCACCAGCGAAGCCTGGATCCATCAGAGAGTTTCAGAGAACAGAGGATACAAGGCGATATTTACACCAAAACAGGTCAGAATATGCGGTAACTGTAATTTTATCCAAAGTTTCATGATGAATGCAGAGCGCATATTCACTGAATATGTTTAGAAAATGACACTGTTTTCTGCTATTTCACCAGAAACGGGCATGGTGCTTTGTAAGTTATTGCTCCAGATGAGGAATTTGAGTTCTAATAGTGGCAGTGGCCAAAAGGCTTGGCTTTAAATCCCTCGGTTAAAAGATCTACCAAATGAAAGTGTGTTCTGTTAGCTGTTTTAATACCTGCTTTTCATTGTTTAATTTGTGCTTCGATTAAATACTTGACTTAAGCTATCATGCATAAAAGACAGAAGGAATAAACGTATTGTGGGTTCAGGAGCAGCATATAGAGAACTGCTGTGGAGTATCTGATGTGCTATGAGGTCACTTCCTTGGTGGACTCTTGGTACCTGTGGTACTGTGCAGGTTTAGTTTAATTTAAAATGGGCTTTCCTGGGCCATAATCACGAGCCTGCATCAGGGGAAGAAGGGATAGAATGGGAATCAGTGCTGAAAATGGGTTGCTCAGTTGAATGAAGGAGACTTTTTGAGTTATGTCATAGAATCTGATTCTATGAATCATAGAATGGTTTGGGTGGGAAGGGCCCTTAAAAGATCATCCCGTCCCAAGCCCCCTGCCACGGGCAGGGACACCTTCCACTAGACCAGGTTGCTCCAAGCCTCATCCAGCCTGGCCTTGAACACTTCCAGGTATGGGGGGGCATCCACAGCTTCTCTGGGCAACCTGTTCCAGTGCCTCCCCACCCTCTCTGGGAAGAGCTTCTTCCTGATATCCAATCTAAACCTCCCCACTTTCAATTTAAACCCGTTACCCCTTGTCCTGTCACTACAGGCCCTTGTAAAAAGTCCCCGCCAGCTTCCTTGTAGCCCCTTCAGGTACTGGAAGGTGCTATAAGGTCTCCCCGGAGCCTTCTCTTCTCCAGACTGAACAAGCCCAACTCTCTTCAACCTTTCATTGTAGCAGAGGTGCTCCAGCCCTCTGATCATCTTCATGGCCTCCTCTGGACTCACTCCAACCAGTCTATATCCTTCTGATGTTGTGGGTTCCACAGCTGGATGCAGAACTCCAGGTGGGGTCTCAGAAGAGCAGAGTACAGGGGCAGAATCCCCTCCCTCAACCTACTGGCCACACTTCTCCTGATGTCCGTACTCTTTGATGACTGCTTGGCTTATTGGCGGGAGCGCTTATCCATGAAATATGAGTTAGAGCTGGACAGAATGTGAACAAGGTGGTTTTTGGGTATCTGGTTAAAAGAACAGAAGAGAGGCAAATGTATAGCTTCTTGCTGATGGTACTGAAATCAGAACCGACAGAACCTTTAACATGTCATTGAAGCATTTCAGTATTCTGTGGAGTGAAAGTGAACGTGCAAGGACCCAGCAGTAAACCAGCTCGATTGTACTTGGAATGTTTAAAAAAACCCACACACCAAAAAAACACCTGCTAGCTATGAATGTATCATTACTTACGCTGTCAGTAGAAATTAATTTTTAATGGCATCTAAAATGGCATTGAAAGAGAAAATTAAGAATCCTGTTTAAATTTTTCTAGAATTGTGGCAACATTTCGATAGGCATTTTGAAATGTGCAGTAAATGTGCAGACACAGTGGCTGAACTGGTAGAAAGGAAGGTACCTCCTTCAGCACGCACCAGCATTCTTTAGCCCCTAGTGTCTACAGGTAAGGCATACATCCAAAAGGCATTAGAAAAGGCATTTTCTCCCCAAATGAAGTGAGTGCTTTTGGTTTGAAAGACTGATTTTGTTTGTTTCTTCACTTTTGAATATTTGTGGTCAACATGGAAACAGTTAGACTTCACAAACGCTGGGTTCCCTGACATATCTGCAGTAAGATACGGCTTCAAGTTAGCCAGGAGAGAGCTGCTGTTTACATGTCAGATTTTAACGATAGAGGAAATGGTAGTTCACTGGGGTATCCATTTTTCAAAATTTAACTTAAGGATGGCAGTAGATCTTCATGCGGAAGTGGTTAATCAACGATCTAAATGAATTGTAGCTTATTCATATTACACTGCAGCAAAGTAAAATTCTTAACGAGGCACTAAAAACAGGTCGTATTGTTGTTGCCTTCAAAATTGCGGAAAAACAGCCATATGACAATGAGTAATTTTTTTATATTTTAAGTTTGTATTAGTCAAATACTTAATTTATGGCAACCACAAACTGTAAACTGCTTCCACAATAATTCTGTGCAAATGCCTTGGCAGGCAGCCTCTTTTTTTTCCTTCAGCATGCTGGAGCCATTAAAACTCTTAGGGTTGGATGTAATGCAGACTTCATCCCGAGAGTACTCACACCAGTTGACTGAATTCAGTAAATACGGTTGTGCCCCTGGACAGACTGTGGTGCATTCCTAATGAACCAAAGCTGTGTGTACTCTGCTCTGAATACGCTCCTTGGCATTCAGTTCCACCCAGTCCTGTCCGTTCAGAACAGCACAGTCATGGATCCATCATGTGCATCCGTGCTAATTTAAGTGACGAGGAGACCTGTAGCATATGGGTTTTCCACATCTCTTGAGCTTTTCCCTGCAGAATAGGTAACGTCTACACATGGGCAGGATGACTGACATTTTTGGGAAGGGCGTTGGAAAGTGTCTCCATCCCACAGTTGCCCCAGGAGCGAAGATTGCAGAGTCTGGGCTGTCAGGAGTGAGCTACTGTTTCCATTAGCTTACTTCCTAGGAAGCAACATGGCAGGGAACATGCTGTAGGCTGTGGACCTTGGGAATTGTTTCCGTGCTGGCAGCTGCCTTCTAGCGTTTTGTTGTTGATCAGGTTTGTAAGAGACAGATCGGTTATTGTTTACCTTGTGACTTTGATGGCTCATGTCACTGACAGAGAGTCATTGCTTGATGGGTGAAGTGAGCAGATTTGCTCTGAAAATATCAGAGGATGCTGATGTTTAATTTCACCTTTGTGGTTCTCTGAAGCTAATTGCCTAGGCAATTACTCTTAGAAAACCAGCTGTAATCTAGAGAAGAATTAATCTCGCAGCAGTTTATATGCATCAGTGGCCAATCCCCCTTCCACCTGGCATTCACCTGCAGGGATACTGATGAATTGCGGAGATCTGACACTCTAAATTGGATGCAGGACAGAGAGCGTCACCAAGTGCTAAGGAGTTATGTGGACAGGACAGAGAGGTAGGGAAAAGAAACGCACACTTTCTACTGAGTAACTTCCCACCACCACCCCCAAATAACTGTAGTAGCCAGTTGCTCCTCCACATGAGGATCATCTGAAAAGTTCTTGGATTGGTTACTTAGCCTGCTCTTAGATAATGAGTATGAAGTAGTGGGTATTTCAGTGTAATAGGCCAAAGGTACAATCTCATTGGTACATCTTGAGCGGTAGAAAAAATTATCACAATTCAGGAGAAGAGAGAGAAATGACTGCACAAAATCTGTCATGCACAATGAGTTAAATCATGATTGCAGCAGTTGGTTTAATGGTTTTCCCACCTAAGCAGTTAACTCTTCTGGTTTGATGAGATACTTGTGTGTCACTGAGAACTGCTGTATGAAAATTTGTTTATTTTTAAGATAAAAAGTATACTTACTCTCTGTTTTTTCCATTTGTCAGACCCCCGGCTGATTCACCTCACTTAGTCTCTCTGTCAAGTCACCACAGTCAGGTAACGTACTGAATTCTACTGTTTTATTCTTTCGGATGAGTTTGATGCCAAACCAAAGTTAGGTTAGCCATAAGACGTGGACTGTCTCTCCGTAACCCATCTGTTTCAGCCTGTGTAGCTCTGTCTTTACAGCCTGGCTCACTGTTTCGTTCCAGGTGCCTAATGCAGATCCCGAGCTGCACCGCAGGCACATAGAGCGTACCCGTCGGGAGGCCCAGCTAGCAGCGCTTCAGTATGAGGAGGAGAGGATGAGAACCAAACAGATCCAGAGAGAAGCTGTCCTTGACTTTGTTAAGGTACTTCCTTTTCGTACCTCCTCGATACTTTGTCTTTTCCGAATCCCTTAATGAGAATTGATTGCCGAGACCATTAATACTAATGATAGTATTAATAGTTAATGCTAAATGATAATATAAATAATTAGTACATTGCACTCTTGGGCATGCGTGGCACTTTATATAGAAAACGGAGAAATAGCATTTAATTCCATTTAGTGTTGGCGCTGTAGCTTACCATGAAGAAAACTAGAACTGGGGAGGAAGATGGAAGAAATTTACCCAAACTGTGATTGTTGTGAAGACGTGTGTTTTTACACAGTCCACCTCGTTCTCTCAAGTTTTCGTGCGCGTAGATGTGACAGGGTTGGTGTAAGACAGAAGGGGTTGTTATTTGAAAAGGCAGTTTAATTTTGAAGGTGACTTTGGCACAGAAGAAATCAGTCATACACACCAGCAGATAATGTTGCCTGGTCTGTGTGGGTATCTTATGATGCCTGAATAAGTCACCCCCAGGTAAAGCTTGGGGGCAAATTTCTGGTACATCAGACACTCCGTGGACACTGCATCTTCGTGTTCTCTTTCACTGCAGGCAGTATGCAGTAGTCTGCTGCTTAACATGCAAACTTGTTTATATGCTGGTTGTCTTAAATTAAATTCTACTGTTTACTGCTCTAGTGTCCTATCCAAATCTCACTGTCAGAAATTTAATAACTGTTACAGTTAATATTTTGGGCTTAGGGTGGTCTGCAGAGAGGAAAAGAACATTATGTTGCATTTATGTAAGGTAGGGAGTGAGCTCAGAAAAAGCCTGAAGGAGGCTCTTCATTAGCACCAAACGGTCTCGGGTCCCTGGCAGTGTTTTGTAGAAAAGCTGCTTTTACTGAAGAGTCAGCTCAGCCTCTCTGTCAAAGACTTTAGATATTTAGGATGCATTTTGTTCATTGATGAGCCTTTTGGGGATTTTGTTTTTCTTCTGTTGCCTTTGTTATTCATGAGCACTTTATTCTTAGCAATTAAATTCCTCCCTTGGGTTATATTTTGGGCTTATTATGCATCTTTCATATGCAAAAACCATTTGGGTTTTTGGTTTCATGTGGAATAAAGGCTGGCTTTTTTACTAGTAATATCAGTGAAGTTTCAGCTCAGTGGAAACTTGAAATTCCCCCAATGCGTGTTTTATTTAAAAATTAAGACTGGTACTTTAAAACGTTTCTAAATTATGCTGGTTTCTTCTGAGCTTTTTTCTCTGTCACATTCCTTTAAATTGGTCTTTCCTTTTTCTGTTTTCTCCATAGCAAAAAGCATCCTTAAGTCCTCAGAAGCAAAGTCCTCTGGATAGTGAGGTAAGAGTCCAGTGAGAGTATTACTGGAGGTGTCAGCACCTGAGTTCTTAGCGCTCTCCGTCAGAGAGAATTTTCTGATGGTGGGGAACTCTTCAGGACTGGGTTATAGCATAGCTTTTTTCACTCTTAAGAAAAACCCACCCAAGGCTTATTATTGCTAGTGGGACCAGTCTCATTCTTCCTTCTGTTCAGGCAGATTGCCTGTCCAAGTGTCTTGTTTTATTGTTTCTTATGTGTTTTCTGTGTTCTGTACAGAAAACACATTTCATATTCCAGTACAGTTTGATTTCTGACGGGAGTGTTCAGGCGCGTTACTTTTCGCAGTCAACCGATTGTTTCATTGATCGGTTTTCTCCCAGTTTCCTATCATCAGAGCACCAGTTATCCCGGAGAGATTAAGCATTAGAATTTTGAGGGCTGTCAGAAAAAGAAATAAATACATTTTAAGAAAGTTTTATTCTAGTGTAGTTGTTATAATCAAAACCAGTAAGTCAGCAGGGAACGCAAATCATACAAGGTTCAGTCTTCTAGAATATACAGAGCTGAGCCAATGACATCTGTTTGCTCTCTGCATCAGATTTCTGCATAGTAATAGCTCTTCCACTGCTTGCCATCCCCACTTTCCCCCAGGGGAAGATAAATCACTTGGCAGTGTTAATCACATCAAAACTTTTAATAATATAATGAATATAAATAGTTCTTTAGCAGCATTTTCCAACTAACTTTTTTGCTACAAAATTACCGAAACGGGGGATAATTGAAATAGTTTTTGGTCCTTTTCCTTCTTAATATTCTTCTGTTCTTAATTTATTCTTTTTAAGGGCCCTTTGTTCTGCCACAGTAAGAACTGTGAATACATAGTTGTCTGTATTTGCTTGAGACAACACAGACAGCAGAATAATTGATTCCTTAAGCAGTACGAATACGCTATAATTCATGGGGCATGTGGCTGTGTATTCCTGCAGGGTTACATATACTTTATGGATTTAAAAAAAAAAAAAGCCTCACAATGCTATAAACAAGCAGTACATATTCCAAATTTTCTGTCTGTTCACATACCGTGTGTTTCTGACATTCTGTGTGTTGCTGACATTACTCCATCTCTCCCACCTCCCAGTGTCCCTTTCCATCCCGAAGGTCTCAGCATACTGATGATAGTGCCTTGTTAGTGGTAAGATCCTGCACGCAATGACCTTTTTATGTGGCAGATTCTAGAGCACACAAATAACAACACATTATGATTGGCTCAGATTAGACCAACTATTTTAGAGCTAATCTAAATAGCATAAAACATGAGCATCTTTCAGAAGGGTCTTAGCTCTGAACTTCAGTAGCACAAGTACGTCGATACTTGTACTGTCAGTCATCTGTTCATAATATAGAGGTGTTTTTCCACATATTAATTAAAGCTTATATTTTGCTGAGAGTGGAAGAAAGTTACTGATAGTGAAGAACGCCTTCTAAAATTCAAAATTCACCTCTAGTTGTTCTGGTTTGACTCCTTCCCCATTTAGCTTGCTTCCTAACTGATGTGCTCTTCAGTGTCAAGTAAAGCAGTTTTAATGTTTAGTTTGCTTCCTAACTGATGTGCTCAGTGTCAAGTAAAGCAGTTTTAATGCCTTGAGTACAGCCTTCAACTCGTTTGTATCCTGCACATGGTAATTCGACGTACTTAGTCTCTTGTTAACCATATCCTAGCACAGGATAAAAACCTGCTCTACATTGGTATGCTCTAAATTGTCAAAATATTCATCATACCTTTTTATTGTTTATCGATGAAGATGTCTTTAATCTATTTTGAACACTTAGAAAAATAAAAAACATTTATGTACTTACATCATGTTTTATGCTATTTCCTCCTTGATGGCATTTTAGCGATGTTGTGTAAATAATGATTATAATTAATGCCATAAGCCATGTCTATAAAAGAAAAATACACCTGATTTGCCTGCTGTTGCATGACTGCATGCCTGGGATTTACTTTCTTAATTCATGTGCTTCCATTATCTGCCTAAATGTTCTTCAGGCAGTGCTCTCAGTTCCATTATCTCCCTCCGGAACGTGTTGCTCAACATGTGTACTGTCTCTTTATTCAGACTTTTTGGTTTTCCTGCTTCCACATGACTAAGCACTGTGGGGGAGGAAAAGGCAGCTCGTAATATTAGAGAGAGATTGAGTTGTGATCATGCATGTGCCTGTTCAGAGAAATCACAAGCGATTAGCACATGGAAATGTGCTTTCATATTTCGATAATGAGAAACAGGCACAGCAGTGGTTTGGGTTAAGTGTTGATATTCTGTTGTCAGTGAATTCATCTTTGGAAAGTATTTTAAAGGTACCTTTTAAGTGTCCCATTTCTGTTTGATTCTGTGATCATGACTTCAGTTTTAAGTTAACATACGACATTTTACGTTGCATGACTTGGGATGTTCAGAAGTTATTTTGAAACTGGCTTCCATCGCTGTTTGTTACCTTTGTGTCTTGAACCAAGCCACCTCCTTGCGCTTCACAAAACTGTGGACAGGCTGGGAGGGAAAGATTGGACTAGATTTGAAAGCAGTTGTTCTTCTATTCCTTTTACTTTTGATTCCTTGCTTCTTTCAGCAGCACTAAACTGTAATAGTATATGAAATACTGGGTTTTCTGAACTGCTGAAGTATGACCTGCAGCTCTTTTGTAGTGGAAATACACACTGTGTCTAACGATGACATATGCCAGGGCAGCTGTTTCTGGCAATTATTGCCTGGGCTTAATGCTCCAGTCACTAGCTCATGAATTTGTAGCGTTTTTCTTTCCACAAGTGTATTTTGTGTGGTAGAAAATTGGTCAGCAACAGGGAAATGTTCACTGGTTTGCTGCCATAAGAGATGAAATTAGTTTTACGTTTTTATATTCTGTTGCATTTCATTTGACGTTTTCCATGTCCTTACGGATTTGAAATTTAGGTAGGTCTAATTTCTGAGGACGGGGGTTTATTTTTAAGAAAGTATAGAGGCATTTCATATCAAAATTCTGTTTGCTAATGGTAGTTTTCAGTGCACTTTTTCCATTCACATAGTTTCCTCTCTGCATAAAAACTGCATGCAGTAGTGTGAACTTTACTTCTGTAAACTTGCAGGTAGGTTAGTTTTAAAAAAAAAAAAATCTGCTAGATTTTCCGCTGCTTGTTTTAGCTTTATGGTGTGGGACGAACGCTTTGTGGCAAGAGAGGAGAATATTACACAGAGGTGTGGTGGAAGATCTTTTGTTCAGCCTTTCCCTCGTTACATCAGAGCTCTCTAAACTGAGCAGGTGCTTTTCTTTTGCACCAAACAATGTTGTCAGCTCAGATGTAAGGAAAAGATTAAACAAGTAGGAAGTCTCACATGTAGTTAGAAAGCAACTGAGCTTTCTTTTATTTTACAGCTTCCCTCTTTTGATATTGTCACTTATTTCACAAAAATTTTCTTAAGACCGAAATTTAAGTTGTGAATATCCTTGTAAAAATCACGCATCACATTTCTTTTGGTCTTCTCCTCGTTGTCTTTTATCACTACTGTTACTCTGACTGTTTCCAGCTGTGTGTAAACACTTTCAGGACAGCCTGAACTCGGAACATGACAGCACGTACTTTAGGAACGGTGACAGTGTGCTTCAGCTTTACGTTTCTTCTGCACCCCTGTCATTGGCGTTGGGCTGTAGCACTTCATTGCGGACTCTGGTGGATTTCTTGGTTTTCACTTGTAATAGCCAGACTAACTAAAACGTTGCTGCAGAAATGTAATTACTGGCCCCAGAAAATGTGCTGGATGCCTACAAGTTTTAGATTAGTCATATCCTGCTTGCTGTTCTCACAGGGGTAGTCCCGTTCGTTATGACCGAGATCACTTGTTGGGATATCAGGGCTTCAGACTTCGCTAATAATTTCAGCCTTAGTTGCTTACGAATCTCGTTTTTCCCCAAATATCTTCTCGTTTTCTCTCATACTGTCCCTTACAAGGTGAGTTTTATGGAAGGAAAAACAACCCCAAACCTCTCAAGCCACTGTTCAGTTCCCATGAAATACTTGCTCAGCATCAGGCAGCTGGTGTGGCCTCTTCCTTGCCTAGCCTTTGTGTCTGCCTTCTGCTCCCTTCATGGCACTGTGTTTTCTTGTTGTGGTCTCAAATGAGGCCTGAGGCCGTCATGTTACTGTTAACACATGAGATCTCTGAGGCATTTTAGGCTGCTAGGCACCACTGTGTTACGAATAATAATGGTATGGGTAAAGTAAGCAGGATGTGAATTGTGTTAACTTGTACCCTGGAGTTTTCTCTCAGACCCTTGGCATCCATTTGTGTATTCAAGCATTTAATAATCAGATTCCCTTAGAATACCCTTATTTGGTTCATGCAGAGTTCTGGTTGGGCTCTGCTTTGGCAGTCCCTGTATCCAAGTTGTTTCTGGCGCAAGGAGGTTTCTCCAACTTCAGTGCTAGGCCCAGGGCCGAGTGCGGCATGTGCAGCATTGCAGCCTCCTGGTTCCTTTTGTATTGTGGCTGCCTTTTCTTACAGTTGTTCCTTGCCTCACTTCTTCCCTTCTTCCCTCTCTCTCTTCCCTTGCTGTCCCTGACAGAATGGCTTTGAGCCTCTCTTTGTGTTTGAGACTGACAGTAACACCAATACCATTAAAAGGCGGCCGGGGACCCGCGATCAGGTGAAGAGCATGCGGTGTGTTGCTGTTGTGAGTGTCTTACCCTGTGCTGTGCTGTGCTTCCCTGCCCCTAACCTGCTGCTGCGTATGTGGATTGGGATGACGACGTTAGTCTGCGTCAAGGCTGTCCTGCTCGTTTCATGCAGGAATAAACAGTTATGTTAATGTTGCAGACCACCTACTTCTGGTTTATTTTACTGTTCTCATACACTAGCTGCTGTTTTGCTTAAGTGATATTTTGAAACTGTTTAAGACAAACAAACCAAACCAGAAACCCCTGATTTTTGCTCTGCACTGCTGTGGGGAAAGGCTGCTTTGAGGATCAGCTGCTGAGCCTCCACAGGGCCTAAAGATGTTTGTATTTAAGGCTTGCCCTGAGCATAACCTCTCCCACTAGTCCTTCCTGGCTGTACTGTTCTGAAGTGGCAGAATAGCTGTAAATTGTTTTAAATACTAACACTCCCAAGTATGTTGTTCGCAGCTGTGGAGTTTCTAAGCGTCATTTGATGTTCTTTTCCTGTCCTGAACTGCTACTTTGCAATTTGAATGCTGCTTCAGAAAATATAATTTCATTCTTGAGCCGTCAGCCCTCCTTGTCATTGTGCTGTCTGTAAGACACAGAATTTGGCCTTGTAGATCCACCTGCCAGTGACGGATTGGCATGCTGGACCTCCTCTTCTGTAAACATGAGAAGCTGGTTGGTTGGTTGAGTTTGATATTGGCTATAATTGAAATTGGGCTGCACTTTATTTGTGATGACGCTGTAAATCTTCACGCTGACGTCCTCCCCAAGGGCTAGATTGCACCCACAGAATCCTATTTACATTGTATGGATTCACGAGAATCGGCGTTAGGTGTTTGGGGCAGACACTAAGTGTGTGTTCTTCAGCCTCTTAAAATTTCCTTTTGTCTGATGGCATAGGCGTTACATTAGGTGTTACTGCAGAACCTTCTGTTGTTAGTTCTGCTTTTGATGTCACTGGTGTGTGTGAAAGAAAACCTCCTTAGTCGGATGGTTCAGGAGAGCAGGAAGGCTGTAAGCGTGGTTCAGCACGTGTGCAGCTGCTGCCTGTTGCGTGTTTCCGAGAATGTGACGGCCTCTTCCGCTGTACCTTGTCTACTGCGTTCCTCCTTTGCGCACGAGCCCTCAGCAGCTTGCTAACACTGCTACTGCCTCCTCTCTCTTTCTGCATTCAGTCACTCTCGGGGTTGACTCAGGAACGCTGCGCTACCACCCTGCCTAGTGCCTCTGCCTTCTCTCCCGTCAAGGTACCTCTTGCTCTTTTCATTCACCAGTAAAGCCAACACAACACTCTCGGATCCACACGTGTTTTAACAGGTCTGTCAGCTTCTAATCAAAAGTTCAGGTAGGGTATGAAAACCCCATTTACCTGATCCAACTGGAGTAGCTATTACCTCATCCTAGCTTTAGGCTGTGTCTGCGGGAAGCCTAAGCTATCAAAACATGGTAACCAGCCTCTGCTCTGAGGGGTTCTTGGTTGTCTTTGATGTTTCTTTTTCCGTACACGATGCTTTATTCCTTACCCACTTACGTTTGAGGACAGATACTCTGTATTTCTCTTCTGTGGAAACGGCTGTACGGAACGCATCCATCACAAGCACGCGCTGGTCTGTGTAAGCACTGTAATAAAACCACAGCGTGTGTCACTGGGGAGTGATGTTCAGTAAACAGCAGTTTTGCGTTAGCAGCGGTGTCAAAGAGGTGTCTCCCCCTCGGTGCTGCTGTAATGCAAGTTCTGCATGTTAATTCGCTCTTCTTCCGTGTCCCCTTTGCAAAGAATGCTTTGAAAGTTTTGGTTGGAAGCAAACACAGCTCCATCCCCGCAGTGTCAGTGCCGTTTCTTCATTCGTTCTCCTCGGAAAAAAGCAATTGTGTCATTTCTACAAAAGAAGAAAACTCGGTTGCTTTCTGCAGAGACAAGACTTTGGGAGCAGCACACTGGGCTTTTTCACATTTCGGGGCGGGGTTCTGAAACGTATTTAGGTGGATGGAGCCTTTGTTAAAGCACAGCAAATCAAAACGTCGTCACAGCTTTTCCAGATTAAGATCACTTACACTCTTCTGCTTTTCTGTCTACAGAGTGATGACAGATCTACCATCTCCCCAGGCTCACCTACCACTCAGACAGGTAACAAGGAAAGGAGGAAAAATTTCTGAAAATTAAGGTCCAAATGCCTGCTTGCTTGCTTGTTCCGTGAAGAGAAGGGAGCACGTGTTCCCAGCTCTCCATGTGGCACTGCTGTGTTTGAGAATGTACCCAGCTATTTTGGGTCCCCTTAGAAACACACGAGGGAAGGGAGAGCAGGGGTGAGGCATGTCCGCAGGCAGAGCATAGGCTTTGGCTGGCTTAGGCCTTCATACAGGCTCTGGCACACAGCAACAGTCGGAACAGTTGTTGGAATCGGTATGTGGAATGTGCTTTGCATGCAAGTGTCCTTGGAAGTGCCTTTTCCTGCTCGGCGCTTTTATCATGCATGGCTGTAATTTATTTTGTCATTATTATATTAAAATACTTGTTTTGTTCTTTTAATTACCACATTGCTGAACCCATTTCCTATTTAAACTCTAACCGTTTCCCTCTTCCTCCTTTCCTTTCCTGTGCCTTTCCACATTTGTTTAGTCCACCTTTCCCCTCCATATCCTGGCTATGCAGCCCCGCCTTCCTATAGAAACCCTTCCCAGCGACCTGAGAGTTTCCTTTTCCGAGCAGCTGTCAGGGATGAAGCAAACAAAGGTAGGTGGTATAGCTCAGAAATCAGCTCGTTTTGCTGTGTTATGTGAACATCTGCACTGCCCAGGTTTTGCACTGCTCTGTTACTTCAGGTCGTCATCATCAAAGTAATTCTGGAGACGTGGCATTAAACACTTTGTGAATAAGCAATTTTTAATTTAGAGCTGTCAAATATGCTTTGGTCAGATTTGTGGAAATGTGGGAATTTGTCCGTGCTTGCACCTAAAAAGATACTCGGGAAATGCCACAAAAATCTTCAAGAACCGACGAAGGCGGTGTGCTAAGTTTCGCGTTGCACAGCAGCGCCTAACTAGCCCTTTCTGTCGGGAGACTGAACTGTTCCAACATACTCCATCTAGCAAAACTTTGTCCTCCTTTGTGAATTATTACTGGCCAACAGAAAGGACAGAACCTAAACAGAAAGGAAAATGGGTTAAAGAACACGTAATTTAGATTAGTAGAGCGTTCGTTTAGTTAATAATCAGGCGAAAGAACAGGAATGTGAAAAGGGACGCAGTGCACGCACGGGGGAGCCCTGTGTGCGCACCTGTAGTCCAGCCCGGAAGGACAGTCAGCCGAGCCGTGCTCAGTGATTTTTCTTTCCTTCACGCTGCACGTTTAGCCGTTGCTTCGTCTTCCACCCGTGCCTTGTCCCCTGCTAATGAGTCTGCAGACCCTCGCGTCCGACAACACTCCAGACAGCGAGAGGAGGAGCTGGAGCTAATAGAGCAGCTACGTAAGGTACGCGCTGCCGGGACATCCTAGGACGTGGACATCCTAGGAAACGCCTTGTGCGCACCCCGTGTGCGCCCCGCCGAATCTGCCCTGGTGTTGTAGACCGATTTCACCGAACCCAGATGGTGCACAGTTGACCAAAATTAAACTGGCTTGCACCAGCCGAAGTGGTTCTTTCGGACGGATGTGGCGGTGTTCACTCTAAAGTCAGCTTCAGATTCTGTACAATGACCCGTGCTGACTCCAGCTTCTGAGTGGCCGCTGATCTCTGCTGTTGAAACGAACGTGTGCTTGCTTCCTTCCTTAGCCGCCCTCACACCCGTACAGTATCCCTGGAAAGTTGCCTGCCTTCCTCTCCATCTGTTTTTTAAAACTCCTTGTTGCTGTAACGCGCACAGAAAAGGAGGTGGAGTGCAGAGACAGTGCCAGTCACGCTGACAGCATGGTTTCCTTCTGTGCTCTGGATCCACCTGTTGATCCTTGCCTTATCCTTAGCTAAGTGTGGAACACCTGAGGCACAAATATTCCTTTCCCTTGTGATTTTTGTCTGTTCAGGGCCACCACGCTGACAGTTGAAAATGCCACATGGCATTAAGGTACCACTCTGCTTCGCCCCAGGCTTGTTTCTGGAGAGCACGAAGGGATTCCCTGAGGTGCTCTAATGCTTTGAACTTTCCCAACAAATAAGAATTCCTGCTTGTTAAAGCTGAGTTTAAAAGCCGTAAGCATCCCAGATGGATGGGGAGAATTCCTTTTCTTTGTCCTTACTTTAACATTTACCGTCTCCTTTCTCTAAAAGGAGAAAGGTACCTTAAAACAAAACTTGGTGCTGTTTGCAGAGCCTCTCTTCTGTTACCGCAGACTGCTTTGTGTGCAGTCTGACTCTTGCTCTGCTCACCAGGTAAGCCCAACTCTTTTTTTTTTTTTTTTTAATACTTAAAAAAATTTAGAGCGTAACAGCTCAGTGAAATTCACACTGTTCGAAATTATTAGAAGCCTGAAATGAATTTTTATTCATTCCCTTACACAAGCTACCTACCTCATTTTTTTAAACTATTTATGGCAAATAGTTCAGGTTTTCCTTTACAGGCAAAAAAGTTTCTTGTCTTTTGTTAACTGTTGCCCTTCAACCCACAAAGACAATTATTTTCACTTCCCTTGGCCAGGACCATTCTCTGAGAATATGTAGGATTAGGAGAACTTCTCTTAGACCCTGATTTCCATTCCTTTTGAGTAGTGGTTCATTAGTCCCCTGTGCTGTACAATGAGAGCTGTTCATTGTTGAACTCGACTGCTCCCAGACTGTGGTCGGCTCCAGGCCGCAGCAGCGCGCAGAGCTCCTTGATGCTACTCAGAGCTGTTGGGAAACGTCACAAGGGTGGACAGGGAGTTGTAACGCAAACACTGCTCTTACAAAACCTGCTGCAGAACTAAACGGTTGGAGGAAACCCGCTCTTATTGGGTGTGTTTCCGTGTTCCTTTTCCTACAGAACATAGAATCACGGTTGAAGGTGTCGTTGCCCAGCGACCTTGGAGCAGCTCTCACCGATGGTGTCGTTCTGTGCCACTTGGCTAATCACGTGCGTCCCCGCTCTGTTCCCAGCATCCATGTCCCCTCACCTGCTGTTGTAAGTATGTCATAGGCACCGTTTTTATAGGTGTCCACATAACATCCATCAAAGTCCTGTAAGCCAGGCAAATGCTAGATTTTGTCATGTGAATGTACGTGACAAAAAATAACCGTGTGTAGCATCATTAAAAGAAATTATATTTGGGGTTGTTTCATTTAAATTAAGTTACTTCTTACAGAGATTTTAAGAAAATGTGTTCCCTACGTTAACTTGAAAAGTCCTCCCTACATTAACTTGAAAACTAGTGAACTAATTGACAGTTCAGCGTGGAAACTGAGATTAAGACATTTCAAAAGATCCAAAGGTCTGAGCAGTTGAAGAAAACAGATGGCAGGCAAATACAACATTCTCTACAACGTTTAGGGTCCCACTATGCGAGGCAGAGAGGCCAAGTTGAATCCTGTGTGCACTTTACAGCACTACAAATTCCTGTGCTTAGGAATCCTAGCAGAGCACACTCCAGCTCCTTGGAGAACAGCATCCCCTGGAACAAAACAAACCCAGTGGTACCGTTGTGTTAATAGGGGAGAAGGTGGTTGTACATGTGGACTGTTCAGAGCAGGCAGGAAGGAAGAACACGGGGAATTTTGAACGTTTCTGGAGCTGTTTCTCTTACCCTGCCCTGCTGCGGTGTTGCTGGAAAGCCAGGAAGGTGATCTATTTCTGGGTGCTTTACTGTGTGACTTGTGGGGAAAGCACAGAATTAGAGAAAGGTCAAGAACTGTGAAATAACGAAGATTACATACCTAATCGGAAAGTTCAGTGAAAATATGCAGGGTCAGCTACTTTAAGGTAGTGGGGAGAGGCAGATGGCTCGTTACGCACCTCTAAATGGGGTGTGTAAGGAAAAGAGCCTGAAGATTGTTCCGGGGCGGGAAGTTACACCATGCGTGTTGTGTTTGCTTTTCCTTATTTTGGAGTCGGTCTTTGCGTTGGTTGGAATTTGAACTGGCACTTAGCGGGCTGCCTCCTGTATCATTGTGGTTCCTCTTCCTGGGAACAAGCCGTTGTCCTCATGATTTTGAGAACGGCTGAACTGGACACGCCAACGCTTTGGGCAGATCTTGGGATCCCTGGGAGAAGAGGCATACAGCCGCTATTCAGATGACTTGCGTCACTGTCTTTTCAATGGCCTGGGTTTATGTCTTGTTGAGTGTGCTGGGATAGAACTAAATCATGGCTTTGTCATATAAATCCCAAGGAAGAGGCAGCCTGGAGCTGCACGGCTTCAGGAGCAGAAGAGGCATCATGTCATTCCTCAGTCACAATGCCAGCTTTGTATTCCCTCTGGGGGGAAGAAGTCAGCGCTAGCCATTAACCTGCTCTCCTGTCGGGGAAATACGGCACGCTGGGGGCTCGAGCAGAACCCCCGCCACTCAGGGAAGTGTTGAACCAGAGAGGCCGCTGCCTGCTGCTGCGTGGGCAGGGGATACCTTCTTCAGAGCAGCGGGAAGCTGTTGTGTCCTTAGCCAGAAGAGGAAAAGCCATAGGAACGGAAATGAGGGAGCCTGTGTCGTGGTGTCTGTGTAGAGGGGCGGGTAACTAGAAAAAAAGCTGGTTTGGAAAAAAGCCAGGGAGTGCAAATCCGACAGCTACCTCAGCCGCCTCCACAAGAGGCGAGCAGGCAGCGAGCTTCGGTTCCCGTGTTCTTCCTTTCTTTTCCGGTTTCTTCCAGCCTTCAGGTGTTTCAGTCTCCTCACTAACAGAAATAAGGGTTGATATTTATACTGTGTATTGTTAATCCAGAACAGACTCCAGGTTGCTTCATACCATGCAGTTGCCCTGAAATCACAGCATGGAAGCCATGCTGCACCTGTGTTTCATTCAAAACACTTTTTTTTTTTTTAAATTGTCATGCTGTAGTCACTGAGAGTGTGAGCCAGTTTTATACAACACCTTGTATACACACATTGCACAGCTCAGAGCTGTCTGTGTAAAAACATCCAGCACTGATAAATTAGCTTGTCATAAAATACCGTGGAAATTTGGGCTTGCTTTTTTCTAAAGAAAAGCAAACTTCAAGAGCCTGCTCTGAATTCGACAAGGTTACGTCAGTGCAGCGTGGTTTTGGCAGAGGAATTTATTAGGGGGTTTATTTAAATTAAAAATGAAGATCTTTTAAAATCCTGCCGGTTAAGATCACTGTATGCCTGCCTTTTTACTTTGCAGCCTAAACTTACGATGGCCAAATGCAGACGCAACGTGGAGAATTTCTTGGAAGCTTGCAGAAGGATTGGGGTGCCTCAGGTACGTATTTCGGCTGTCCCGCTGACAGTGTTTTGGGTGCAGATGTGCACCGTGCCGCAGAAAATCAAACCCCCTTTGAGAGATTTGGTGAAGACAAAATGGTGACGAGCGTAGCAGGTTCAGGTGTAGGGGATGTCTTGCAGTATAGATCAGACTTGCCTGGCATTGTCTTCCAGAGCAAAACCAAGTCAGGAGTAGTTTATCGGAGGTCTGGCCCACTTGCTGCCGTGCCTCAGATTCGTAACAGCTGGTGCAGTTCGAGCCTCCTTTGGAACTGCAGGGTATTTCTATAAACACAGTTAGCGTTTGCTCAGGGTTAGGTATTTCACAGCTTAAAGTGGGGTAAGATTTGGGTGATGTTTGTGTTATTTTTATCCCAAAGCTTTTCATGTTCCTTCAGAATAGTTCTTTCCCGTGAACGTCTTTACTCCCTTACCAACAAGTCGCAGCGTTACTGGCCCCTCTGGTGGTAGCTATCTTTGCATAGATCCTAATGCTTTTGTTACCTACCAGTGGTAGGGGTATTCCTTGTCCCATTCTGAGGCTTGGAAGATCTAGGAGGTGGGGACATAGAAAATAGTCCCTCCAAGTCCAGGTGTCCTGTTTTATGCTGCCCTGTCCTTTCCACTGTGTCTTATTCAGCAGCTGTCTCAGTGCAAATGGTTTTGATATGTCATGTTTTTCTTAATTTTTCTTCTATTACATTAATTGATTTGGTTGTTACACTGCTGAGCACTGGGGGGTGGGGGTGGTGTAGGTGATGGTTTCTTTCTGTTGTATCGTGAAAGGGAAGAGTAGGCCCAGTGACTCATTTCCCAGATATTTCCAAGAGCGGTGTTCTCGGCCAGGCCGTGTTCCTGCTGTTCTCAGACAGCTTCACCTGCAGGCCTTTGAGCTGTGGGGACTGTGGGACAGGTCGTGTACGGAGCTGCCCGGCAGCTGCACCTGGCTCAGCGGCGAATCGCGTTGAAGGTGGCAGGGAGCTGTAAGCGATCGTTAGTACTTTGAGATCCTGCACTGGTTTGGTCCCCCAAGAAACTCTGACTTTTATTCCCAGTGAACTGCACAAAATACATTAATCTGGGGCAAAATTGTTCAGTTCCATCCCAGCTTCCCTATTTGTAGTTCCCTCAAATGTGAAGATGTAATTCTTGTGGGACTGCAGTATGGAGCAGGTCACTGACACGACCCACACTTAAAAACAAACAGAAAAGCCACTCAGGAAGTCCCCTGTAGACCCAGCTACATCTGCAGCTCCCGGCCAGGCCCCTCCTGGTTTTCTCGTATCCCCTGCTGTAATATGAAAGGGTTCAAGGGAGGTGTCTGGGGAAACTCGCTGAAATACCCCACCTCAACTCGGCGGCTGCTCTCACACACGTTAAACGTATGCTGAGATGTGAGCGTGGGGTACCCGTATGCAGGGATGGCGTGGCAGCCCGGTAGATTCGATGCCTGCGGGTATTTCCTTTCAGGTTGCCCAGAGAAGCTGTGGATGCCCCATCCCTGGAAGTGTTCAAGGCCAGGCTGGATGAGGCTTTGAGCAACCTGGTCTAGTGGAAGGTGTCCCTGCCCATGGCAGGGGGGTTGGAACTGGATGGTCTTTAAGGTCCCTTCCAACCCAAACCATTCTGTGATTCTGTAATTTAAATTGTAACTGCAGAAATGAAAGGCTTTCTGGAAGTGTGGATCTGTGTAGAAATACCTACCTTGCCTTCTGAGGGAAGGTGACTTGCAGAAAAGGTTAGTTAGAGGCACCAGAGTGAAAAGGCTGGTGAAAGCCCCAGCACCAAAAGAAACCAGCAGTTGAACAGGCTGATGTGTGCATCTGGATTTCCCTGGTGTCAGCACTTACCTGTGTGAAGGGGAGGGAAAAGACACACAGTGGGAATAGCTGCAGAACATGTAAGCTCTAATTAGTAGTAGGTGTTTCTGCAGGGTACTGCGTTTGAGCATCAGTTCCCCATGCATAATCCCTCCTGCTGCTGTGTTCCCATCCCTGGAAGTGTCCAAGGCCAGGCTGGATGAGGCTTGGAGCAACCTGGTCTAGTGGAAGGTGTCCCTGCCCATGGCAGGGGGTTGGAACTGGATGGTCTTTAAGGTCCCTTCCAACCCAAACCATTCTGTGATTCCGTGATTCATTAGCTGAGACTTAGCTTCGGTGCGTGTGCTCAGTGCCAGCAGCGGCTCAGAAACCTGCGGCCTCTTTGCTTCCCCGAGACCCACGCTTGTCACCGCGGCACACGCAAAGCGCCGTGGTTTGAACCACGAAGCACGGTCCCTGCGTAAGCTGTGCAGGCCACGGGCGCTTCGCTGCCCGGCAGATCCCTGCGTTGGGCGAGCCCTGTGCGATGGGAGTCCGGCAGGTTGCTCCGAGAGTTCAGCAGCGGCGGTAAGGCTTCTGGGAGGTGTAGGTGGTGTCGGAGATGTCTGATGACTGACTGCTTCGCGGGTGTTGCTATGGCTAACTGACTGACCTGTTTTTTCTGTCTGTTTTCCCTTCCTGCTCACACACTCTGGACAGGACAATCTTTGTTCCCCTTCTGACATTCTTCAACTAAACCTCAGCGTTAAAAGAACAGTTGAGACTCTTCTTTCCCTGAGGACAGATTCGGAAGAATCCAGTCTTGTCTCCCTTTCCGTTCAGCTCTGGGGCTTTGTGGTGTTTTACTGTACCCTGATGCTAACGCTCTGTATGTTCTATCGCTGGGTCTTTTTCCTCTAGCCGAAGGGTAGCGCTGCTGCTTCCCCCCTCCATCGTGCTGGTGCTTGGGAAAGGATTTTGGGGTTTGTCAAGACTGTCTGTATGAAGTGCTTGCTTTCCCGCTGATGGGACGGAGGCGACAAGTACGACGTGCGCCCGCGCGACCGTCTCTGGCATCGCTCACGTGTGGTTTTGCTGTGACGCGTTTAGCAGATGTGATGTTTTTACGAGGGAGGAAGAGCTGCCCGTGGGCTAGCTCCGGGGACTGAGGTGAGGGTGCTGCAGGCTGCCCACGAGTGACGTGGTGCTGGGAAGACTGCGTCGTGCCTCAGTCTCCCCGTCCATGTAACGGGAATTGCACCCACTTTGGTACATTGCTTCGGGTTTATCTGATGAAAAATGTTAAAGAATGTGAAGTATTTGTTTCAACATCAGTGTTCTTGATGAGATCTCACATCTCAGGAGACATGGTCTGGGGGCGTTTGTCCACAGGAGTTTGTTATCAATACTTTTGTTCTCTTACCCCCTGTCCCTTATCCTGCTTCTGGGAATGTTCGATTTCCCAGATTTCTAGACTGCTGAGTCTAGGGGTTTTTTTCCCTGACTCTTTTAAAAAAAACTTCATTTTTAAAATAACAGTCAGTGAATCCTGAGCTACTTGAGCTTCTTCGTAACAGATCCAGCAGGAAATCTTCAGAAAATGGAGCTCTCCAGCAGCTTTGAGAGAAATGTTTTCTGTCACAAAAGGAAAAAGCCTTAAGATTTTATCGTAGCATTTTCCTGTGCTCTGGATAAAGCTTAACAAAAACATCTCGAGTTGCCACTTAATGTGGACGCCCCAATCTGGGCTGGTTTCGTGCTTATTCCCGTCTTCCTCTCATCCCGTCGTTTTCAGAAACCCTTGTGTTTCTGAAACTGCAGAAACGTAAGTCCCGGCTGCACAGTCACTTCACTGCTGTACAGAACTCAGGTATCCCGTAAGGCTTCAAAGCTTTTCCCTCCCCAGGAAAAGCATCCTGGTGCTTTAATGCTTTAATGTCTCAGGGACACCCCCAAACTCCGGGACGCTCCCCGAAGACCATGTCTCCTCAGAGTGTAGGTTGGTTGAGGGCCGTGACAGGTAAGTGGGGAGGAAAAACGGCTCTTCCAAAGGTGTGTTCAATAAATCCGCTCCCTCTGGAAAAACAGGATGTGGTTTGTACGCCCAGCAAAGTGGTGTTCGTGTCCGGCATCACCCTGGGACAACGCCGGGGCGCGGACACGCGGGAGTGGGGTCGCAGACGCGGTCGCTGCCGGTAAAGGTGTGTTACGTGTGCGGGGTCTCGCCGGCTCTCGCACCACGAGGCCAGCGTGTGGCCAGGGAGCAGGCGGAGGGCTGACGCCCTCTGTCCAGGGCGGGAGTCCTGTCCAAGCAAAACATTTTTGAGGCAAGAGCAGCCCTTTGACAGAGGGAGACGGTTTTGTTGCCAAATCCGCTATTCTTGCACTGCTGACCGGTATGAACTAACACGAACTCGGTGCCTGTGTGTAACTTGTAACGAACACTGTGACGGAAGCTGCCAGGGGTTTTACGCTAACGGTGCCTTCCGGTTTTTAAACTCTGTTTGTCGTGACCGTCTGTGGTACGGAGTCATTCCAAAGCTTTTCCTCTTGCCTGTTTGCCTACACGAGAAAAAAAATGAGGCGGATTTGCTCGAGTTTACAAGTATTTTCTCAAAAAGCACACTTTTTTTTCAAAATAACATAAATTTACTGGGAGAAAAATAGGTTTCAGCCCCATCACAGGGCTTACTGCCAGAATTCCAGCCCGGGTTCATGGCTTTTTCCCCCCGCTCTGAGCATGCGGGAGGAACGTTGGCTGCCATTCGTTGTGCTGAAGGATTGCCCTAAAATTCAGTAAGGATTCAGAAAGCGGAGGAGCGCAGGTTGCCGTGAAGAACCTGTGAAAAATAATCATCTCTGTAGCTCTGTAGGAAGGACGCGCTCTGGTCATTTTCTACAGACTCAGGGAACGGTTGGACACGTATCCTGACTGTTGTGGTGGCCAGGATGTGCCGGGGACTTACGTAGGATGAGGCTTGAAATCCCCCTTAGACTAGCACCGTTGTTAATAAACACTTTGAAACCTCTTTTTGCATGTTGTGTATTACTCTCGTGCCTCAGAGTGGGGTCGGAGGCAGCCTGCCAGCGGGGGTGGTCCGGCAGGTAACCCGCCGGCAGTGGCCCACGCCACGGGGGACTTTTGCCTCTGGATTTCTCTCGCCTCAGACGGGAGAAACGGCATTTTCTCCGTTTGTGACTGAGGTTGTTGCAGTCACGCGGAGGAGCGAGGCTCTTTTTTTATTTCCCTTCCATAAAACCACTTGGCGCTTTCTGCTTTCTGCTTTCTGAGGAATTTCTGTCTCGGCCGGGACCAGCACGGCCAGGCTGTCTCACAGGGTGGGAGTTGTAACTCTGCCGTTCCCGTGTGCTTGGGGCAGCGTTTCCGTGGCTCTGCGCTTCCAAGCAGGACACCCTTGGGAAGGTGTCGTGGGAGGGAAGCCACGGGTCCTTTCCCGCTCTGTGTTGTGGCAGCTTCGGCACCTTGAGGCGAAGCGTCCCCCTCCTTCGGCTCCTCCGCTGCCGTACGCGGCCGCCCTTCCGCTGAGGGCGGCTGGCGATTCCCTGCACCTCCCCGCTCCGCTCTCGGATTCCACTGGAACGCTGCTCTGGTACCCCATCACCAGGGTCACCCAGCGCCGCCTCCTCTGCGCGTCTGAGCTCGTCACTCGCCGCCGACGTTTCGTTTCATGCCGTGTGTGCCCGTGACCTGTCCGCGACATTTCATAGCTCAGTCACCTTTTGCCTGATTTTTTTTGGTTTGTTTGGTTTTGTTTTTTTCTTTTTTTCCCCTTTTCAGTTGTGTTTTTCATCCATTTTGTTTCTGTCTTTGTTTTGTTCCCCATTCAGGAGCAATTATGTTTGCCTCTGCATATTTTAGAAGAGAAGGGTTTGACACAGGTAGCTGTGACTGTCCGGGCGCTCCTGGAGCTGGCGCCCCCAAAGCAGCAGCAACTTCACCACTTGTCTGCTGTGTAAAGGACTCCGGGACCTTTTGGGTTACCTTGGCTAAGCGGAAGGACGCGAAGACTTTACTGCCCGTGCAGTGCATCCCAACACGCAGAGCGCTCTTCTAAGGAAAGGAGTGGCCGTGATTCCTGACAGGAATTTACTTCGTTTCTCCATTTTTTTTGGAGATCACAACAGTTTCAAATAACGTTTTTATGATCGATATTTTTGCCCCTTATTTAAAAAAAAAAAAAATCATAAATAAAGAATTCCTTGGGGAGGAGGGCAGGGAATTCTGGCGGCTGTAGAAACGGACCTCGTAGGCTGAAGACCTGGGTGGAGAGTTCGGAAAGCGAATCCGCAGGGAATTGGTTTGTACAAAAACAGACATTGCCGCAGCAGGCACGTGGGGAGAGCAAACTCCTTCCTTCCCCGCCGGGCTCAAAGAAAGGGGATTTCCTCGCCTCCAAAGACCAGCAGCAATTCCTGTTAGATACAAAAGCAGTGGCAGCGCACGGCCGTACCTGCCGTGTGGGATAGCGGGGTCGAACCTGATGCAGCTGTAACGTGTGTTGGCGTCATCGCTCAACGTTTGAAGGAGAAAAAATCCAGATTAATTGGTTTTCCCAAGGGAAAAAAAAAGCCCTGCGTTTTCTCCACAAGAAACCCCATAGTAAAGGATGCTAAACCAGAGCTGAGTTAACCACGTGGGCTCTCGCTGGGTTTGCTGTTTGGGTTTTAACGTATCTCAGACAACCGTCCCTCGGTCACGCCGGGGGGTGTTCGGTTGCTGGGTGGTTTTGTCCAGTGCCGAGATGTCGCCGGGAGCTGCGTCCGCGCTGCAGCCCACCCTGCTGGCGTTAAGAGCCCCTTGCCAAGTGCCGCGTTTGCTGAGGGCTGGAGCTCCACGCAGAGCTGCCCACGCCGGGCAAGGGCCCGGCCGCCGCGAGATTCATCACTCTCAGAGCACGGTTCCTGGATTTCTGCAGGCGGGCGCGTGTTGCCGGGGCAGCGGTCTGCTGCGAGAGGCGGCTCCTCCTTGAGGCTCTGACAAGGTGTTAAGGAATGGAGCCTCTTGTCGCTGGAATTTTTGTAGGAACAGCGGCCGCTTTCCCAGCAGGAAAATGGAAACTCCACGTGCAGGAGCAGGAGAGGCAGCCGACATGTTTGGCATTGTGCCGGGGAGTTGACCCACGAGACAGACTCGCGCTGCGCCACTGGCCCTGGTGACAAGGCCGTCAGTTCCGTTCCTTTTTTCCCCCAAAACACCTCGCCACACCTCGCCAAACCCGGTTCCTCACCCGCGCAGCTCCTTTGCTGGGCTTTGGCCGGTTTACAGCGTCCCGGCACGTTGCGCCGCTACCACGCAGCGCAGGGGACTGAGGCTCGGAGGGATTGCATCTGGGGATGTGCACCCCAAGGGGATTTCATGGGGATGAGGGAAGGAGAAGCAATGGGATCAGGCTGTAGCTGGGAGTCGTTTCTGCTGGCGTGGACCGGGCACAGCTGGGCTTTCCCCCTCTTGGTTCGCAGTTTTGTTCGCACTCGTGTTTGCTTCATCTGACAGTTTCAGGGCCCATCGTGGTGACTGTCGCGTCCCTTGTGGCACATCAATATTCCAGCTGCTTGTTGGCATTGGGTGACCACGTTGCAAGCGGAGAACAACGCCCGGCGGGTACGTAAAACCGCTGGAGGGCGAAGCCTTTGCCTGCCGCCCCGAGCCTGCACAGAAGGAGAACGCCCGCAGCTTGCAGCCCTGCGCGGCCCTGCCTTCCTCCTACGCAGGGGCTTGCGTTTCGCTTCGCTTCAGGTGCAGGGGGGTTGGTGAGTCCTTCGGGATCACGGAGGTGTCCCATCCTCCGCCGTAGTTTGCCAAGGGGAGGGGATGATGCTGCCGCTCGCAGCCGACGGTGCGGACCACGAGGGTGTGGTGTGTGTTTGCCTCTGCACGTGGCTCCAAGGAGGGGACACTGACTTCATCTTCGACATTAGGTCGCTTGTGTGGGCGACTTCAGTATTCCCCTTGTCAGAAAACCGTGCCCGTGGTGGAGCTGTGGGTGTGGTGGCTGCCGTCCAGCGCATGGGGACAGCGAGACTGAACAGCGCTCAGGGCAGCGGAAGTGTGACGTTTCATTGATGCCAGTTTTGAGGAGTTGAGCCTGAACCGCGAGGAGCGGCTGCTCCCCGTCGCGTCCAGTGAGCGCGGCTCCTGCCCGGTGCGAGCGGCC